TGTACCTGCAAATGCGTACACGGGCTCAGAACAAGAAAGAGATTGACATATAAGTAGACAGATAGGGGGATGGGTATAGGGAACCGTTGATTTGCTGGGTTCGCGGAGATTTTTTCGTTGAGCGATAAATTTGTGTTGGGACCAAAGTGACGAGATCTGTTACCGTGCACGCTCTGTCCCTTCATGTACAAAACAATGCTGCTCAACTAGGAAAATCTGAAGTACACATATATAGGGTTAGAAGGTAGGCGGAATTGTAGCCAAAAGTTGATTCGGGATCCAATCGCCAAGGGTGTATCGGTTGGATGTGTGCGTGTAGATATCTACGGAAAAGTAGGAAAGGTGTGGAAAGGAAGGAGTGTGCGTAAATTGATTGCGTTCCTTTGGCGATTAGCAGGTGCAATATATTGGTCCAACCTCATTTGTTGTTTTCTGATAGCCGATCATAGAATCCAGTAGTTGTGGAGGTCTCTTCAGTTGATGGAAAGGTGGATTCAGAAGTTCTCTCAATCCTTAAAGGTGGGGGTGGATTGAGGATAAAGTTGTAGCGAGGTGAGGAGGTGGAATGAACGGATCTCTCAACAGGACTGGGGTTCGCATACATAAGGTGGTCGTTGAGTAATGAGTCTCTTAAATGGCTCTCTAATTGAATGTTAGTGATACTCTGAGGCCCTCCATGGAGTCGTAGTCGATGTGGATGGCTTGACCTAAATGTCAATAGCCGTCGAAATCGAGGGAATCGAACAATGAGGAAGATGACGAGAAGGGTGAAGAGAACTCCCACAAAGAGACCGATTAACATTCCTACGAGATGATTCCTGTCGATTATGACTCCGTGCTTGGCGGACTCCTTTAGGGCCACATGTTCGGCGTGCATTCCCTCGAAGGCCACCTCTACAATTTAAGTGATGCCCATGTTAGTCTAATTTTGAGTGAATGGCTTCGATGCAGTTCCGTGTCAACTTGACATTGTACTGAATAACTTTGTTTCTCCATTTACTTGAACTTAATTGGTGGACTATGCGAAGAAGACCGCTAATATCCCACTATACTTTTGACTTTAGAGAGACAAGGGAAGTTGAGCAATATTTGGCATTTCGGTTTTATGCTATCGATAAAAACAACGCCACTAGATGCTGTGAGAGACATCCTGCAACACACGCGGTTGCCAAAGTCTCCAGCGTGTGAAAGTGTGCATGCGCTCATCGATTGTGCAATGCGGTTTGTGCAGGTAGGAAGGCTGGCAGCAGGCAGGCAGGCAGATATGCGTGAACACACTCCATTTTAATATTTGCTAGGGCAACAAACACATCAGGAAGCTTACACGAGGAGCACAGGAACGGCGAAGGGGAGAGGCAAGGCCTAATTGATTAGGTAAAGAGAGGGCAGAGTGATTTTCTCTTTCCTCAGGCACAGATGGTTTGCTCATCCTAATTAATCTCACTTGCAATCGACGGTTGATTTTGTGAAATTTTTCAATGAGGCATTGATTGCATAAATTTCCATTCTCCGTACCTTGATGAAACTAGCTCTCCCCTTGCCAATGTAAACCGGCTCCTGATATTTATACCTCCAGTTTACATCTGCAACAAAAGCTCTTACATACTCCTTTTATTCCCAGGTTTGTCTGAAGTAAATTATGTGTTCATTGAAATGGAAAATTACGTTAAAATGCATTATATTTTCACTGATGCTTTGACAAAGGCTTCTGTCATTACGATATGTCAGTTTATGGTCAAATCAAGAAGGCAAGGTAGTCATCAACTTAAGGTGGCAGAGTGGCAGGAGACAGGAAAAGCCTAAGATTTTGAGGGCCTCCCCAATTTTAAAGTAATAAGTGAGATTATAGATTAATCAGCTTTTCCGATCGGTTGGCACGCACTAACCTGAAACTCTACTTAAGTGTCCCCATTTTCGTAGTTGTGCGATTTTTCAACAAAAGTCAACTTGACTAGCATGTAGGTCAGTATATTTAACCTGATACTTAAGAACTGACGATCGTCCACTAATCCCAGACTTTAAATGATTGTAAGAAAAATGAAACATGGAAACTGTAGAACTCCTACCTTCAGGGATGAGAGGATGCATGAAACAAAATTGTTCCTCCCTCTCTGTTCCCAAGCAATCGGAGGCGGGCACATTAGTACCCAGAAGGGGGTTGAAACAGGTGCGCGTTCGAAATCGTAGCTTATCCAGGCAACGCGACCAGCTTGACCAAGGTGACCACACACCAGGAACTGAAATCGGAAAGATAAATAAGCAGTGTTGAGGAAAGGCGATTTTACTTTTGTAAAAGACTGTCGCCCCCATATTACCTTTGCATTGAGAGACTTGTTGTTCACCAAAATTGCACACTGTTTCACTTAAACAAATTCGACAAAGACAGGAGCGTTGCATCTCCGGAATGTTTTTCCTTGTCTTTGGATGAAGATCAGTGGTCATCAAACACCGTCGCCAGGACGACCAACCTGAGTGCCTGCCCTGGGTATGCGCAAGACGGGGTGATGGACATTGGGGACGTGTCCTGGCATCCACATTGAATTTAAATCCCGATGTTCGGAGCCCTCTTGGATTTAGAAGACTAACACAACGGAAGATCTGAGTGCTCCAACCGCAGTGAGGATCTCCTGATGTCATACATGCTTCCTCTGTTGAATGCGAGACACAAGTATCCGTGGGGAAACGGAAGATTGTGCGTGTCGTGCCCAGAAAGATAAAGTCACCCTGAAGTGCAAATGAAATATTGCTAAGAATTTCTCCAACATGTCAAAGATGCCAAAAAACTGAACGCTTCAGAACCTACTTCCATTATAATACTCATGATGCGTTCCACTTCGGATGTTTCTGGAGGATGTTCAAGATTGCTTTGCCATGAATAGCCTTCATTAAATTTTGGAGCCCATCTTGAGTATTCTCTCTTTTGGGCTGAAGAAGTTCTCTGTGATTCCGTGTCAGGTCCGAGTTCCCCTTGAAGCCGTTCTAAGACGTCATTAGTCTGTCCCACTCGTAGGCGCTTCAACTCACAACTACTCAAGAGAACAGGATCTGAATGGTCGTCTTCTTTCCTGTAAGTCTCATAAAAAGCCAGTTGAGTGAGGTGACTGGCCGAGGCAAGCCAGAGAATCGAGGTTGTGTAATGCAAGCTGCCTATTTGTGGAAGTTGGTAACCAACAATGGCACTCCAAGTGGTGGTAGGAGACATTACAATTGCATGGCCGAAGAGGGGAGTCACAGGATCGTAGCGGTACAAGAAGTTAGCACCAATCTGACCTAGTGATAACTCATCCGCTGTCAAGTTGCCAGCTGCGAATCTTTCACACTGAAAGTAAAAGCAAAGCATACACTAACGTAGATGATAAAGGAGTGCGACAGCAAACACGCGACACTCTTGAGAATCGTGGAGAAAATGCATGCTTATTTTCAATAATTATAATAAATGACTGGACGCGGTCGGGCCTCTCTCACAATGTTCAAACCTAAGACAGCAGAGCAGATGCAGGATATTTGCATTGAGATTAGTTACAAGGAAGTAATTGCTTACAACAGTGGGGAATGGATTATTTCGAACACTGGCCTCGGGTGAGGCGAATGTTTGTCTGTAAGGGTAGTTGGAATTTGAGATAGGACCCCTGAAGGCGCTCTCAATGCTCTGGAGGTCGTACACGCAGACTGCACTTCCACGAGGGCCAGCCCTGCAAATTTGAATAGACGAATAAAAAGCTCACTTGCAAGTCAAGTTAGCTGGCTAATAATGGTTATGAAAAGAGGCTTGACAAGCCCAGTTCTCCCTATTTGACTCTACGGCAATCGCAAAATGTTGCACATGGTAACCGGGGAAGCAATGCGGAGTAAAATGCATTTGTCAAGGCCAACGGACTAGGAACAGATCTTCGATGTACTCAGCAGTTTGGAATGCCTTCAGCCGTACGAGGATGTGTGAGGCATGAATCCAATGAAATCTGTGGATTGTACAACAACTACTTCAATAATGTTTATCATTGCTTCAGCTGTAGTGATGTACGTGCAATAGACAGGCGAGTAAGAGAGAATATTCAGTCTCCCACCAACTTCATTGTGTGTACACTTTTTTCGCAAAGGTTAAAAAAGAGAAAAGGAAAGCTAAGATTACAATCCTAGTAGCGGCACAGCGGTTCCTTTCGGTGTCGTGAGAATTTGCTTGACCTCTTTATCATCCTCACTCTTTGCTACGCGCACATCAGACACGGGGTTTCATTTTTTCCTTTTCTTGCCATCACATCTTGAGACCATAATGGCTTTCATTCTGAAAAAACATCGACTCTTGCCAGAGCCAGTACTGAGAGAAATTTTGTGCCATCAAAACTGGTCGACACCGGCAGTTGCAAGCGTAAGTCGACAGCCTTCATTGCATTGTATTATCAGATTCAGAATGTGCAACCTGCTTGCTAGGCAATTTGGCCTAATGAGTGGCTTTAATATGGGTGATGGAGCGCATCAAACTCACCTGTGACCCTAGGCAAAGACAACGGTACTTGTAACGTATAACGTGAATGCCACACATGCTACTATGGCCTAAAAAAGTGTGCAAAGTTTCCTCTCATGACTCCTCTTGGGCATCTTGGCAATTGAGCTCTCATGTCCTCCTCCATGATTGGCTTAGACCATGTTTTACTGACAACTCATCGAAGGTAAAGACAAATCGGTAGCCCCAAGCAAACGTGACAATGACCATGAAAGGTTCAGAATAAGCCCTTGATGGTCTAAACTATTTGCTTATTAAGAGTGAACATGCACTCCACAAATCTGTGCGTACAACCACACGTAAACTAACGAAAACACAGCTGTGCTAGGACAGAAATGCCCAATTGTAACTAGCACCACTTAGTCTTCCCTCCCTTTACCCTCCCTTTTACCTTCTTCCTTGGTGATTCATTTTAACAGACCGTTGAAGACATGTCAAGAAAAAGTTGAGGCAGCAAAAAAGCATTTATTTTAAAAATATGTCTTTAGTTAGATGATTTCACAGCAATTTTTCATCCCTTTCTCCTCCTATTCCTCCTTATGTGACCGGATCGCATTTTGAAAAGAGATGCCTAAACTGAGTCAAACGTTCAACTAAATGAAATCATGAGTTAGGCGTAGGTTATTTGCCTGCCTTCTTCAATCATTGAGATTTTGACTGTTGCTAGATAAACGTCCAGAGGAATCTATATCTGTCACAGTATCAAGGGTGCACAAGAATGGCCCCATCCACTGCGAAAGGACTTTCACCCCCTTTATTACTATCAAAACTTCTGCAAATGTCTCAACTTTAGGATCGATGATAGTTGAAGCAGAAAGGAAAAAATCTCGACCATTTAGACAGGATGAGGAGTTGTGAAGGTTGAATGACTGACTACAGATGTAGCTCACTGTTCCTTTAATTCCATTTGCTACGTAAAAGTCCATCCCACCTACTGTGCCATGAAATTTTTGGACGCGTAATCACTCAGCTGTCTTGTGCAGTGTTTAATAATGTCAAACAAATTTTTCATGAGTTTAAAATGCAATGCTGAAAATCTATGCGTTTTATTTACCAAAGGCAGTTCACTAGAATATAAGGTGGTATACTTACTCCCCAGCCGAGAACACAGCGTAGAGTCGTTTTGTCTCAGCATCCCAATGAGCTGATTGAGCAAAGTCGAAAGTGAAATGACTTTTCTCCTCACTCCTAGAGAAGATAGCGAGTTCCGATTGACAGAGTAGATCTGCTTTCGCCATGGTGCCAAAGTAGTGCTCTGCGATGCCGCGCAGACCTCCCTTATCACCTCGACATACGCGAAGTAGTCGTGAAATCGTCTCTTGAGGTGGATGCTCTCTTGATGAACTGAATGCTTTCTCTCGCAACAAGAAGTACGCCGCAGTTTCTGTCTCAAAGCTCATAACAATCGTAGCGGGTTCTGTAAAGCGGTTAGCATCGAGGTTATCGATGTTACTGGAAGGTGGAATAAATGTTTTATGTTAGTATACCATTGATGAAGATGCTGCGTTTGGGACTGAACAGCGCACCGTCCCAGTTGATGCTACCAGAAGCCCAGTCAGGCATCTGAAGCCTTCCAATGTGAAGGAAATTCGCTGTAACGCCAGCAACATAGAAGAAGGGCTGATGGGAAGTCTCAGCCACCGATTGTTCAGGAATGTTGTCTCTCGGTACCAGAATGACCGGTGGACGCCGTGGATCCATTGACGTATAGTACCCGTTCTCCCAGATAAGCATATTTTCTGCCAAATTTGTGGGCTGAAAAGTGAAATTATGGAAGTGTCGCTTTCCTATTGCTTTTTTGCATTGGCACCAGTTAAAATAGTATAGAGTAGTTAAATTTAAAGGTCTAGGACAACTGTCACAAATGCCGGCGCAATTAGGCAGGCATACGACGCCTCACTTGACATGTGCGTCTCTGTCAAATGCATTCGACAAAGAACTTCTCTGCCCTGAACTGGTTTGTGAGAAAAAGAGGAATCTAAAATATGCTAAATCAAGAGAGAGGGGAATAGTGTTACAGAATTATTACGAAAGGTCACACCAGTTAATGGGAAAGGGGGTATCGGCCAATGTTCACTTGTGACAGAAAATAAGCTCATCTAGCCTTTCTTGCCCTTAAGGTTCCAAGTAGATGTCCTGCACAGAAACGAAATCTGCTGGGACATCCACGTGCATGAAGGCGTTGAGGAGTCGGGCGAGGTGAGGCTCTCTCCACAAGTG